ACTTGCCCTAAACTCCGCGCCAGCATCACCAAGTACCGGAGGATGCTAACACGAAGGGCCCACCCTTCGTTCACGGCTTCCAACGAGGAAAACGTCCATGAACCGGAAACCTACCAATTCGAATTGTCCTTGTTCCCAACATATTGTTGCGAACTCGCTGTGTCTACCCTCCCTCCCAAATGGTACACAGTTTCAAGTGTTCTAGGAAATAGTTCACTGTTTTGTTTACGATAGAATTTGTACCGATATCTTGATTTTTCTTCAAAACCAGAGATACTTTTTTATAGAATATTTGTATAGAACGAGATTTCCCTTCATTTTTCATCGAGTCTTCGTTTGCTCTCCACTGGAGTCTGGAATCTCCGTAATTGGCCACTCGAGAAATAGAGAAACAGATCTGGCTATCATTGCCTTTTGCTTTCCAAAAAAATTGAGTAAATACATAGGCCCTTAAATAAGTATCAGACCCTGTGCGGATTCTCCCTAACCGAATCACGATTGGATTCTTTCGGAGGAAACTTAATGATCCAGGGAAGTTATTATATTATCGTTGAAGGTATGGAAAAATCTCCAATTAGGAGGAAAAAATTGTTTGCGATAACGAACGAATCGGGACACTCAATGGGTAGTTTGAATTTCTTCCTTGAGACATATTTTCGCAACTCGTTATCAACAAAATAGGTTGAAGATTGTGATACGTGGAGTTTGTTAGGGAGGAAGGTTATTGAAAGTTTGAGGGTTGGAATTTACCGGTAAAAGGAAACTGGATTTTCTGTTCCACTTTCGCGAATGACTTATTTATTTGTGCTTCTCTGCTTGCGTGTCGCCGACCAATAAAAGCTTTCACGTGTTTATCGGACTCTGACAGCATCGAAATATTATCCCTACTATTATTTCCCGTAATATTCCTTCGATAACACGCGTTCCGTGTCAGCGGATAATATATGGAACCAGGTTTCATCGTGAAACCCTGAATTCCTTACGATAATTCGAAAATATTCCCTCGATCTCTTTTCAAAAATATTTACACAAAAATTGAATCGATGAAGCAAAAATATCGTGTTCAAGTTGAACTGATTTCTGACACGAACAAATATAATCATAGATAGGTATCGGACCAGGTTGAGTAAACATTTGCTCCGAGCAAAGAAGTGCCAAAACAAGGGACGAAGCGAAACAAACGGACGCGTACAGAATGCGCTTCGAAAAATAAATGTCCGCGAGTTTCGGAAGAAAAAGAACGAATGAATTTATTCTTCAAAGTGGAAGATTGCGAGCGGAAGAAGAACAAGTGGGACCAGCATCCTGCTGAGAAGCGGATATACGATTACTGCTGGAACGGAACATACAGGTTTACTGGACAATAAAAAATTTCAATGATATGTTCTCCTTAGAATTATTAGTTGAGCTTTATAATATCTCTAGTGGGCGGGCAAAAGAGTATAATAAATTAGAACTCTTAGTTTTGTAGAGAAGCACTTATAATATATGTATAACCCTTGGACGACAGACCACGGAGAGAACCTGAATCTTAATTTAATTTTGTGTTTCATATCATTTTCATTTTTAAAATTTTACAATGTTCCTTTGAAAATTATTTTTTCAATATATGAAACTTTTTTGTTTAAAATTATGCATTTGACTTTAGATTAAAAAGTCAAGTTTATACTCTTTTGATCGCACATCAGAATATTTTTGAAACAAAGGAAGAAGTCAATAGTTTCATGAGCCCCAAAGTAAAGTTCGGTCGAATTATTTTTCAAAAAATTGTTTTCTACCTTTTCACCAGTAGATACATGGAAAACTATTTCGAATCTCATTATAGATGGTTGTAAAGCTGGTGACACGAAACCTCGATGAGGTGTCATTCGTTCGAAGAAGCTCGAAAATTAAAGCGTGAGGGAAAAAAATGGGTCGCTTTGACAGACATTCGGAAATTGAGTGGCTGGCAGGGTGGAAGGTGGTGTAAATGCATTTTGCGACTTAACGGAGCACGAGATCCTTTCACAAAGGATCGCGTCAGATACGACGACGCGTGTCGAAATAACTGTTATGCGGCTCGGTGAATGAAGCCGTTTCAGCTACAAATTACTAATTACAACCGGCTCCCTTAGGGAATGCGGTGTCGAGCTGTTGGTGTTGAATATACCCGTGACATACGTACGCTCTCCAGTTACGACACGCGTTCACTGATACAATACGTAATGTATACAACGCGAGAGAAACTCGACGAAATTCCCTTTGTGCCACATTACATGATCCTACCTTTGAGCATTCTTCAATTCGACTCGTGAAATTTGATAGCCGGATAGAAAGAAAAAAAAAAAAATGTATAGAAAGAATTCAGACTCTTTTGAGAGGCAACGACAGGGAGTAAAAATATTCGTCAAGGGGTACGTTCGTGTTTCGAGAGGGAAAAAATGTCGACGACCTTTTCGTTGACTTAGTACAATAAAGAATCTATTTTAATAAAATAATATTAGGACATTACGTGATCCTTTTCACAAATCAAAGAGTTTCCATCGGCTATCGGTTTTCTAATAAAAACGTAGCTCGATGGCAAACAAGGGTGAAGTATAGAAGCGGATATGAAATTGCATACAGGTTCGGTGAGTATCATAACACGGTCCTTTCGCTCGTTACGAGGGAACGGCAATCGAACCGACAACAGCTCGTCCAATCGTCGTCGGCCGTCAACTCGATAACCGGTAAAAACGAAACGGAATCCGTATCCCGAGGGGTAGTCGAGTGTTCGAGGATGGATGAAAAGGGGTGAACGGGACACGAGCGTCGAAAAATGTACGGCAAGGGTCGAAAGCTCGCCGTCACGTTCCACAGTGTGCGCTTCCTCGGCTCCACTCGAGCTTCTTTACCGGTTAAGCTCGCCGACTCGCCTCTAAATCGAATAAAAGTCAGATAGTCCCCGGCTTTCGCCTTATTTACGGGATGACGAAAAGAAAAAGACCGGCTACTAGCGGGGGAAACTGGTGTGCGTTTGAAGAGGAACGGAGAGAGAGAGTTGAGAGAGGAATGTGTACACGATATTGGATAAAGATCATTCGGTTATCGTTATCCAATCGCTATTTAAAAATTGTTTTGTCGCACCTCCTTTATAGATACAATGGAAATATGACGCGTCGACGCTCCTTTCGTTGACCTATACTACTGATTTGTAGACATCTATTTCTATTTATTCAAGGCATAGGTAAAAGTATTTCAAAATATCACTTGTAATACATCAATTTAAAGCTTGAAGCCTAAAGGAAATTACTATATAAGTGCATCTTAAATATTCCTTATAATAGACGAATAGTTGTGGATCACAACGAACAGTGTTAATTTCATGACAGAAAAGTTTTTCAAATTGGCACTTATGATACACCAAATTAAAGCCTAAAATTTACCAAAAATAAATACATAAATGCACCTTTAATGTGTTTTATATTGATAAAGTTATTAAAAAAAAAAACTAAGGTATCCAAAAGTCTGGATAATCTGTTCGGACCTTCCTGGCGAAATTTATTCAACTGAATTAACTGAACCAGTTCGAAACCGGTATCGAACGAGAAACGTGGTTCGACGACGAGTAAATACGCGGCAACAATCGAAACCGCGAAGGCGGTTACGATTCCCGGATAATTTACACGGGAATCCCGTAGTCCCAGTTCGAAATCGTCGAACTTCCTGAAAAGCGTTTATTAGCTCAAGGAGTAAGGTAAACGCCTCTGGTGGTAACTTTAAGTGACTCAGACCGTATGGAATATTTACACACGTTACACGTTTCTCGCGTGTTGCGCTCGGAAAGCGAGGGATAGGAGGCCTGAGTTATGGCGGCCTCGCATTGTGTCTGTTCCGTCGGCATTATCACGAAGTGCCGTTTGCAAGTCTTCCGTGTATTTGTGTAACGCCCGGGCCAAGAGTCCCGTGGAAACAATTAATCTAACCCTCTGATTACTCTTCCGACTACCACTGCAACATCTACCCACCCTCCGCAGACCATGGCATCCTGGCACCGACGACTTCAGACGTCAAAACTCGAGATATTAATATGTTCGTCGGGATGGCAGAACGAACGCCGACTATCTCTCTCCACAGTCTTACGGATACCTTCTGCTGATTAAATTATTACTGTCTCGACCTTTTCGACCTTCTTCTTTGCTCGGAGTTTAGCGCCATAGTTCGTTCGCAAATTTTTGAATTTTATTTTTAATAAATTTTTCTATGATATTTCAATGCTCCTCGAATAAAAAATATCAACAACCTTGAGAAAACAGAAAAATGTCTTAAGGAAACAAATTTGTTTTTCAAGGTATTTCTTCAAACGAATGACTTGAATCCATTCAAATTGTGCCCTGACCATTTTTCAGGTCATGAAAATTGAAGGAGATATTTAGGTGACCTCCTTTATCTGAGACACCCTGTATAGCGAAGAAAAAACTTAGTAAATAGAACGTTTGCGCTAGAAATTTAACGATGTTTCTCGCTTGCATTTGTCGTAAAACTACATTATGTTTGACGTGAACATGAAAACAGCCTAGACGTTACGTAATTACGTAATTAAAGAGGGGTAGGACACGAAAGTGCGCTCATTAATTAGACTGTGAAACGGAACGTAAGCGAGACCGGGATAATTGTAATGTCTCGTATGTAAATGACGACACAAAGGTTCGAAGATGAGATTATTGATAACGAAACAGATTACGAGACACAATTGGAACGTTTGCAAATGCGTCGAACGTGTCGAACTCTGCTCATTATTTCAACCAGAACGCGATAATTATGAATCAAGCTTATTGTAAGGGAGAGTAATTATTCTATGTTCTAAACTGAATTGTTACGAAACAATCGATTGTTAAATCATTAGAAAATGTTGTGCATTATGAAATAATTGCTTTATAAAGGAATTATTTAATTTTTGATCTCAACTACTCGAGTTTCATTCATTCAGAATGCCCGACGAACGAATGCCATTACTATAATAATATTTGAAGGTCACTCACCAACGACATGCAGATAACCATATTGTGTTTTCGCAGTCGCTGTGTTAATCTGGCACATGTACCTTCCCTCGTCGTCCTCCTGAACATCTTTGATATGTAGGGACCAGGTCCTATGCTTATCATGCGACACGGATATCCTGGGGTTCCTGGTAATAACGTGATGTTGTACTGTCAGGATAGCGCTCTTCTCGAAAAGCATCCAGGCCACCTGAAATGAAACGAGAATCTCGTTACATCGTAAATACGATTTACGACCCTTCCCCGATTACCATAAAATCCTAATTCCTCCTCGATACGTCGCTAATGTAATTAAGATAGGTAATTATCTCCAACCAGTTGAACATTTTAATATTTTTATCGGTGGATCAATGGTGGATCACTAGCAAATATGTACGGTATCTCGATACAGAATGTATATTTTGAGCTGCACCACTTATCAACAAGGGAACGGAATTTATCGACGAGACAATGGGACACGTAATGGCAATCCACATATTTGCAGACTGAGAATCGTGTTTGTCCGTTGGTCGAGTGTAGCAGAAAACTTTCCCAGTAAAATAGCCTCCACGTACGTATAGACATCGTCACGCTCCTGTTCCCTCGGATATATCCGTAAGGAGTCTGGCCGCAATTCCCTGAACGATTCATTCCACCAATGAATATCCATAACCATAGTGGGTTCGTAGATCACCGGGTCGCTTGAAAGCATCGTAGATCATCCGTCTCCAACGGAATTCCATGTTTGATTCCGATCCTCGACAACGATTTGTCCGGTTCAGCACGATTAGATTCTCCGTTTAACCTGCGTTTCTTCTCTGTCCCTCCTCGATATTAATTGAATGCGACACGTTGGTGAACAAAGGAAACGAACAAAGACGACGAAAGCTCGTCGATCAGAGAAAGGAAAAATCCTTAGTCGTGGGATGAACGTCTCTAGAGAAATAAGGGACGTTACACGAAGTTGTTAACTTCCAACACTCTTGATTCAACGTAGTCACACCTTTTTACTACGAGCGAACGCGCCGATACGCTTGCGAGTTGCAGCCACCCAGCGATAATTCTCCTTCTCGCTAACCGGCCAATGTTTACGAGGAAAATAAAAGGCGACGGGAAGAAAGACGAACACGGCTGGAACAACTGTTTAACGTCCCATTTAACGCGACATAATCTGATGTTCATTGTATTCCTCTTATCCGATACGAGTGACACGAACACAATGGGGACAGACAACTATGATTTTTATCAAAGAATAAGATTTAATTGAAATAAATCTTATTGTTAGTTAAATATTGGTATATGAATTAATTCGGTACTATCAGTGTTATACGCTTTCTTAATTACTATTTTAAATTTGAATATTTTCCTGCGAAAATATGATAACAATAAAAATAATAGAAGTTACTATGATTTTTTAAAAACAAATGTTAAAATTGTAAAAAAGAGGCACAGAATTAATTATACACCTTATAAACACTTTTTTACATCTTCTTCAGAAAGACTAAACTTTTGTTCGCTCCGTTCTCCTAATTTTCTCCCGTAAAATTACCAACCCTTTTCTTGCACCAGCTATTACGAAACAGGGTGGCACATCCACAATTTCCTGCAGCGCCGTGTCCCAGAAACCCGACCCGAATTTTTACTGCGTTCCAAAAAAGAAACAACCCCCGGTCGAGCCACACCCCGCGATCAGCGACGTGGCTTGGATGCAGCCTCCATTGTCATAAGTCTCCGCGACCATAACCATCCGAACCGTCGCCACCGACTCGTGACAGTTTTCCTATTCCAACGTTGGAATTTTCACCTCGATTTATCCGGCTCGACTGTCAGTGTAACAACGCTTACGTCTCCGATCTAGGAACGCGCCGAGACGCCGGGCGTCGAAGCTATTGCCGAAAAATCTGCTACCCTTACGACACCATCCCTCCTGCCCCTCCTCCTATTCTGAACGTAGACGTACAACGAACGTTTGTTTCTAGCTGGGATTCTGATCAATGGCATCCATCGCGAGAGCTAGTCGCGAAAGAAGCGACGAGCGTGAAGCGTATTTTAGCGTCGCGAAGCTGTGGCGCGACCGGAAAATGAGATTCTTCTCAGAAAATATGGCCTGCGTCCGGAAGATACTGCTTCTTTATGAGATTATGAGACTTTTCTTGCAACTTGCTCTTGCAGTTCATTCAGGGAAGATAATTGACCTAAGTAATTATTGTTTTTGAAGGAAATTGTAGGGTAATTTCAGTAGAGATAGACCCTGTGACTGAGATGAATCACCCGCATAACTTAGATTCCACAATTATTGACTTATTTTAATTCTATATGCTGTTCCCTCCGTTAGAACTTTGTTTAACTATATCGGACAGTGGACCATGAAATGAACCGCAGGTTTAATTTTTTTTTTCTTCATATCATTTTCATTTACTAAATTTTAACGATTATATTCATAATTATTTTACAAAAGCCTATTTCGTATTTCAATATTATTAAAAGTTCATCTAATATAAAATTCAGCCTTAAAACAAATTGGCCCATTACTCCTGAAATTACCCTAATTAAAACAAGTAGTAAAACCAATCTGTGGTCAGGCAATAAGTCTCGTGTTCATAAGGTATCATAGAAAAACCACTAAACGCTAGCTTGGGCTCAAGTTAACCACCTTTGAGGGCTTAACCATGGTCTCTGGAATAGTCTTGCCTCCAACCCTCGTTTCCCACCCTTGTAAAACCTTCGTCACGAGCGATTGACCTCAGTGTACGCTGCCAAGTGTTCCACAGGTTCTCCCTCGGTGGTTTTCACCTCGACGTCATCGCTCAAACGGCCACAAAATGCCAAAACGGACCCATGCGACTTGTTAAACCAAAGCTTGCTTTGTCTCCAAATTGAATGATCGAACGAATGTCCGATTGTGGGTTCCTATTTCCCCACATTCTCCTAATATTTACAAAAACATCATAAAACAGTCTGTTATTTTTTATCACAGATATTTTGATTGGTATTACACATATTTGCTCAGTGAAACGTAAAATTTAAATTGACCAAAGTAATTTTTACAACATGACAAAATAGAAGTTTGATTGCCTCCGATACGATATGTACACATGTGTTTATTACGCTCGCATGCTTCCAATTTTATTTGCAGAATCGATCTCCAGAATAAATTACGTATCAATAAACTGAGCCAGCAATTACGATAAAAATTAATCAAACCGCATAAACACTATTAGAAATATTTATTATTATGTTGGTTTGCATTATCAGTAACGAACATTTATCCATAAAATATAAAATAAAATATTTTTCTGTATTTCTCGAAATCACATTTTCATCTGATTATTTTTAATCCTTTTTCTCAGAAGAAAGATTCGACGTTAACTTTAAATTTTCTTTTTGTTTAGCAAAAACATTAACCCCCGTTTCATGTAGCAAGCAAGATGGATGTTTTTAAAGGAATTCGCAGCCGACGGTCCGCGGAATGCTAGGCATTCACTGTTTACTCGAATCATTAATTTCTCCCTGTAGAATCACTGCTGTAAGTCATTGCTTTCCTTTCCGTTGCTTTAAGGAAGCGAAGATGATAACACTAAGAAGAGTTAAATAAAATAAAAAATAAAATGTAGTTATGGAGGAGCGTTTTGCAAGAAGTATCACCCTGAAGCTTGCATCAACATGCAAGCTGCGACGAAACTAAGATGAATGTGTTCGAGAGGGTTTCCTCCAGGAGTTTGTTCCTCGGAGAGCTCGCTACGAGGCATTGATTCCTCGCCGCAAGAAGAGAGTTACAGCTTTGTTTACTACGAGGGCGACGAGCCCAGCGCCGTCCAGTCTGGCTCTGTTACCCCTGTCTCTTCTTCTACCACCGATTCTCCACCCTTCCTACCCTCCTGCGGCTTCCTATTTCCTTGACCTTCTCTTTCTTTCCCTGTCCGAACAAACCTACAACTTCAAGATCGGCTCTGCTCTTCGTCTGCTTCTGATCAAATGTCTTCAGACACTCGTATTTTGTCGAAACCAGATCTGCTCCTCATCCAATAACTGGATAAACAATTTTGTAAGGTAGCAAGTGGAAAAGTTGATAAAATAAATGCAACTATGGATGAAAGGAAGATGGAAGTAAGAAGTAATTGTGGATGCAAGTAAGAAGTGGATGGCCAAATTTTCCATCTTTCCTCTTCTCAATTTTTCTTTTTGCAATCATGGAATTTGTGTAACCAACACAAAGCGTTCTCGATCTTTCAAGAATACTTCAAGTAATTCTTTCAAGTCAAATTTAATGCACCGAAGAAATCTCTTCTGCAAACATTACCAGGCTGAACAATTCCTCTGCTGTTTACACAACCATTCTTTTTCTTCTTTGCAGCACCAACCTATCTCATTTCGCTAGATAAATACGTAAATGTCGTGGAAAATATATTTAAATAAACGGATCTATAAAAATTCTTCAAGTTTCCCTAAGTGGGTGTAATTAAAAATATCTGAAGTTTCCTTTAACGGAACAATTTCTTTTATCATAATAATTGCCTCTGAGGAATGAACGTTTAATCGAGTTGTTCCTCTGAATTTATTAAAATACTTTGATAAATTTTTCCTGTCGACTTCGAGCGGCTGAACAAAACATCGGGGATGTTTAATCGTAATTAATTTCAGGTTTGCTCAACACGATTCTTCAAAGAATTTCAAAGTGGCGTAGTAAACTACTGCGTCTGCAACTTGAGACGAGTTTTCTGAGTAAGATTGCACTCTAGTTAAATACTTGCTACAATCACTTAACGTGGTGGTACCTTTTACTTAACAGGCTGAATTATTGCTTAATTTCTTGCTTCTGGAGAACGTTAACCGATTTTCAATATTAATTTTCAAGTTTCTTTCGGTGTTTATTTCTGATGCTGAAAATTTTGGTCCGAAAAGTTCTTTTCTTCTGTATCCATTTGTGGCCTTACTTTTATGACTATTTTTCGTTTCTGGCACAGTTAAAGATACTTTGCTAAAGTTTACTCGAACCTTTGAGAGCTTTCTTGATACAGAGTTGCAAGGAAAGCAAAGTAGACCAAGCTTTGCAAGAGTCGGGTAAACTGAATGTTTCCTACTTAATAATATTTAATATTTTTCAAAGGTATAAAATTCTACAATTTCAGTTAATGGTTATACCGTAACAAGAGAATACAATTGACTTTGAAACGACACCAGTTTCTCATTTATACATTCATTATCGTGCCG